CCCCCCCCCCCCCCCCAAATGACATTTTTGTAATTCTTGAGGATTCCTTTTGCTTAGCTACGAAGTATAAGTGTCTTTTCCACTCAAGCATGCTCAAGTTTACACATTCAACATTTGTTCTTTGCAATTGACCTTGGTTTTTAACTTCGTCCTTTGATAATCACTTTTTACGAGTGGACATTTTCTTTAATCTATCTCAAATTCAACCAACCTTACCTGATAGGCGGTAAAGGATTGTTGGAAGGGAGTCCTACGTTAGTTAATTTAGAGGATGAGTAATACATTCCCATTATTATAAAGTCTCAAAGGTAGATAATATCATACTATTGTGGAAATCCGTGATTCCTAACATAGACATCCTACTTGATTTGAAGTTATCACCTCAGAACTCTTCAAACTAGTTCCAATATTATTCTTGAAAATAGGAGCGGAGGAAATGGCACGTGGGCATTCAAAAGACCAAGTTCAAAACAAGAGTGTTCCACAAAACGCCAAGCACTCAGGTCCACACTTGTTTCTTCCCTGCCGCCCTTTGAATCCAAATCCCTCTTTGGAATTTTCCCTACAACACTCTGTACTTCCCATTAAGATAACTGATACCATTTGGATTTTAGAATTGGACTACTTTTTCTTTTTAATATTTCTTATCTTTTCTTCATGTCGTGCAGCCTCCTTCTAAACAGCCTTCTAATCCCATCTGGCTCGGTCTCATCTGTACCCCCATCTCTTCAATAATTGAGTGGGAGGGATTGATTTTGCCATTTAATATAATGGGAAACGTATTGATTATTTGTAATCATGTTTTCCCCATTTTTTCTTCCCACCTATATACAAAGCTGTTCCCCCAAATTTTAAATTTGAACTCATTCCGGCTCCACTACCAAGGTTTCCCAATTGACTTCATCAATTTTGACAATCCCACCTCCCACTAATTAATATATATATTAGTTATTATTCCGTAAGTCATCGATTTAATTACCTCAGATTTAAGCTAAGATTAAATAGGTGATTGTTGAATTATTTATTTGAAAGTGTATAATTGTATACTTGAGTTATGTACAAAAGGGTCATTGAATTATGATTAACCATGTGGTTGTTGAATTATTTGATGAAATAGAAAGTGTATAATTGTCGTATCCAAAGAAGAAAAGAGTATAAATTATTACTTAAGTTAAGAATAGGTCATTGACTTATACTTGTTTATTTAAAAGAGTCATGAACAGACAGGTGATTGAGTTATGATTAAACAGGGGATTGTTGAATTATTAGATGAAATTTATTTGAAAGAAAAGAGCAGATTATTACTTGGATTATGAATGTACGATGATTGGTTGAATTATTTTTTGTATGAGTCCTTGGTAGGTAGGGTTATTTAAATTGATGAATGATGATGTGATGTTTTTTTTTTTTTTTTTTTTTTTTTTTTTTTTTTTTTTTTTT